GGTCAGAATCAACCAAAAAAATAAATTAACATCTTCAGCCTTTTTCTAATCAGGAATGCTCCATATATTCATCATGTAATCAGACCTTTTTAAATGTTTAATTTCAGTACAGATAAATTAGACTATCCACAAACGTCAGAGGGTCTGTTAGTTTGAGTTTTTGAGGCTTGCCTAAGCACAGATTAGGTATGAAATACCTAGTTTTCTAGAAATGCAACTTTAATACTCAGCTGCTGCTGAATGTCCACTTGACAAATTTAACTATTAATAAGAGTTTCTTTTACAAATGTAGCCTTCTGAATATACTTCATTTTCCTAACCTTTGGGAAATTAAAAGCATTCTCTTAATTTTTGAAAAATGTATTAAGCAAATGCAATCATTTCTGTAATATAAAAGAAGTATTCTTAAAAGAGAAACTTAAATTTCCTTTCAGGCCTATGATGCTTATTGACCATATTATTGTGCAGACATTTCATAGAAATATTTTTTACCATAAGGACACTGATTCATCATCACAGACTATTTCTATTGGAGGTAATCTCCTGTGTCTAAAGTCTGTCACATAAAGATCTCAACGCACTTGTTACGTAAAGTATTTTAGTGTTCTTAGTTTTAAGCCCAGTGTTTAAGATACAGAGAAATGCATACGACTAGCTCAATCTGTGCTTCTGAAAGAAATATATATCAATTAAGCAAAATTGAATTGCTTGTAAGACCTCTGAAAGTACTGATGGCACCTCAGTTGTGAAGAGCAGTGGGAACATTACATTCTGCTTCCTTCAGCTAAAGAATAAGAAATAACAAAAGTTACCTGATCCAGGGTGAAGTTGACCTAGAACTCTAGAGACCATTTCCTTTGAAATGATTAGGAAAGTACCATGTGTGGAGCAAAAGAAATTAAGCTGAAAAAATGTAAACCATAAGTTAAGAGACCTCATCATTACAGCAGCATCACCCCTTCTGCTTCCTAATTCTTCCTTACTGATGTAGACTGTGAAGATATAAAGATGAATAAGACCTAGTCCCTGCCTTCAAGGGACTAATAATCCAATGGAAAACAGATATGTACAACTAACCATAATCATTAAGATATATTAGTGTTTTCAACAAAGTGCTAAGTGGAGAGAGAACAAAATAAATGATTAATTTTGCCTGGGAGAATCAAGGAAGACTTTACAGAGGAGGTGACATTTAGCCAAATCTTGAAGGATAAGTAAGATTTAACCAAATAAAGAAAGTAAGAATTCCCTAGAAAGAGAAAGTAGCAGAAAACAAAAGCAAGTTATATAAAAATTATTGGCATATTGGAGAATATTTAGAGGGAGTGGCTGGGAAGATAGATTAGGGTTAGTTGGGAATCATATGGTTATTACTCCTCTCTTGATCCACTCCTGTTACCTATGGTGATAGGCTTTATTTTTTTAAGATACTAATCAACCTTAATATTTTGTGGTGGGCATGTTTCATTGATTGCCATTGCAGTCAGACCCTCCCCCTTCCTATAAACTCTCTCATCCCCTTCGTATTATCTCCTATTATGTGTGGTATTAATAAGATATAGCAGTCTCTTTCCACTATCAAATCCTTCTTCACCCAACTCTGGTATTACTAAGGCCCAGCCACATGATTTAGGCTTGACCAAATGGATACTTCCTCTTTGAAGACTTTGAATCTTAATCAAGTGATACAAAGATATGAGGACATCTGGTGATGATATTCATAGCAGCAGTAGCAGCAACAATAGTTGGGATTTTTGCTGTGACTCCTGTCCCTTGCCCTCAGGAGCACCCTTGACTCCAACCTTGAGTCAGTTTCTGCTTTGCAGCTAAGAACACTGACCCAACAATGTCCAAAACCAAACTCATCATTCAAGTTCAAGAAGTTACACACTGAAAACATGGAACTACAAGTTCAAAATTTCAAATGAAAGGCTTTTTAGGATAAAGAAAGATTTAAGATCCCCTGTATTAAAGATGAGAGTTAAAGGCTAAGAGATAGATCATCCAGGGAGATACTGTAGAGAAAGAAAACAAAAGGACCAGAGATAGTATCCTGGGAGATGTCAACATATGATGAAGCAGACAGAGGAGCTAGCAAAGATGCCCTAAGGGATATTAGAGGTAGGAGGAGAACCCAGGGAGGAAATAATTTCAAGAAAGGGGTCAGCAATATCAAATACTGCAGGGGGATCAGAGAGAATAATGACTGAGAAGAGGTCATTGGGATTGACAATTAGCAAGTCACTGGGTACATTCGAAAGGACAAATTAGTAGTAGCTTTAAAGGCGGGAGCCAAAAGTCCATGGTTGAGGAAGTAAAGGGAGGTGGCAAGTGAAAGTATCAGTATAGATTGCTTTACTGGAAGTCTGGTAAAGTGAAAGGGAATAAAACAGCCACAGGGATTTGAAGTTGAGAGAAAAGTGAGTCTTTTCTAGCAAAAGAGTTGGTGGAGGAGGAGGCATTGAAAGTATAAGACACAGGAAACATAGATGATGGAGCATTATCTAGGAGAAGGAAGGAGATGATGGCAGTTATAGCAGGGTCAAATTGGGCCGAATTAGCGGCGTTGTCCTTGGAAGGGAATAGAGCCTCTTCTTCTTTGGAAACAGGACAGAAAGAGGGAAGAAAAGATGAATATTAAAATCACTGGAGCCAGGCGCTGTGGCTCACACCTGTAATCCCAGGAGGCTGAGGCAGGAAAATCACTGGAGGCCAGAAGTTCAAGACCAGCTCGACAACATAGCAAGACCCCTGCCTCTTAAAAAAAAAAAAATTTTTTTTAAGACAGTCTCACTCCGTCGACCAGACTGGAGTGCAGTGATGCAATCTCGGCTCACTGCAACCTCTGCTTCCTGGGCTCAAGCAATCCTCCCTCCTCAGCCTCCAGAGTAGCTAGTACTACAGGCAAGTACCACCATGCCCAGCTAATATTTAGTATTTTTAGTAAGTCAGGGTTTCTCCATTTTGTACAGGCTGGTCTCAGACTCTTGGACTCAAGTGATCTGCTCACCTCAGCCTCCTGAAGTGCTGGGATTACAAACGTGAGCCACCTCGCTCAGCCTAAAAAATTTTTTTTTAATTAGCCAGGCATGGTGTCCTATACCTATAGACCTAACTACTCAGGAGGGTGAAGCAGGAGGATTCCTTGAGCCTAGGAATTTGCAGCTGCACTGAGTAAGCTATGATTGTACCACTGAACCCCAGCCTGGGTGTCAGAGCAAGACCCCATCTCTAAAAGTGGAAACTTTAAAATAAAATGTAAATCACCAGAGTTCTTAAACCTGGAGATTTCTCAAGCCTCAACTTAGTGAATTTGAATATTAGTGCAAACGGCCCCTGAATGTGCATTATTAACAAGCTGCAGGTGACAACTATGCATACTAAAATTTGAGAATCACTAATAAAGATTATACAAAAGGAGAGATGGAATTGGAGCTAAAGAGTGATAAAAGGGCTGGGCACAGTGGCTCACCCCTGTCATCCCAGCACTTTGAGAGGCTGAGGCAGGCAGATCACCTGAAGTCAGGAATTCATGACAGCCTGGTCAACATGGTGAGACCCTGTCTCTACTAAAAATGCAAAAATTAGCCAGTCATGGTGACCCACACCTGTAGTCCCAGCTACTTGGGAGGCTGAGGCAGAAGAATTGCTTGAACCCAGTAGACAGAGACTGCAGTGAACTGAGATTGCACCAATGCACTCCAGCCTAGGTAATTGAGTGACACTCCATCTCAAGAAAAAAAAAAAAGGAAGAGGATTTATTTTAAAAACATCTGAGAATCAATACTGCTTTTATAATATTTAAATTTTCTGTGTGAATTAAATAGCCAAAGTACATAGTTATCTATCATTCATTTATCCAATAAACTGTTATATATTTACGATGTTCAAGCATTATAACTAACTTTGAGATTCAGAAGAAGTATATCCATCTATTTTTTTAAAAGGGGGATGTCAATTCACTTAGGATGTCAAAACATAAATTGATAAACTAACAATACATAAAAAGCAACCCTTCTCAGACAAGAAGTAGAAGTGATATGGGTGGTATGCATCAGAATCCCTAAGGAGATTATTCAGAATATTAATGCCCTCATCCAAGTCAAATCAGAAGTTTGGAGAAAGTATGCTTGGTTTGAAAAGTTCCAAAATTATTCAACACAGTTCCCACCAGCTCTTAAAAATTACTGAACTAGAGGAAAAAAGAAAAGAATAGTCCAGGCGCAGTTGCTCACGCGTATAATCCTAGTACTTTGGGAGGCTGAGGCAGGAGGATTGCTTGAGTTCAAGATCAACTTGGGCAAAAAAGCCAGACCTCAACTCTACAAATGATACTAAAAAAAATTAGGAGTGGTGACACACGCTGTGGTCCCAGCTACTCGGGAGGCTGAGGTGTAAGGATTACTGGAGCCCAGGAGGCCAACGCTCCAGTGAGCTGTGATTGAACCACTGCACTCTGGCCTAGGGAGCAAAGTGAGACCTTGTCTCAAAAAAAGAAAAAAGAATGTTAATAATCACTGTCAGGTTTGTTGAATGAATATTGCAATTTTGTTGACTTTATATATATATATATATATATGTAGTTTCCAATTTAAAAATTGTTGGTACTCCTAATATGGTTACAATTGAAACGTGTTTAGATTCTTAGGCAAGCCCAGAAAGGTGTATGTAATTATTGGCATGGCTAATCATAGGTCACTAACCTTTTCTTTGAAGCTTAAAAATAGAGAGGTGTGTAATAGAAGTTTCTTCCAATTTCCTAGGAAATGCTTTAAAAAGAAACAAGCAAAATTTTCCTTGGTGCTCTTCTACCTCCTTTTGACACCTCTCTTCCACTCAGGTTCACCATAGGCTCATGCACCCCCCTTAAACCTACACTACCTTTAAAAACATTTCCAAATTCAGTTGTACAAAAATTGAATTCCAGCATTAACAATTATAGTGAAAATTTGGCAACAACATATGTATCCATCAATGGGAGATTTGTGAAATAAATTATAATGTATCTGAATCATGAACAGTATGTTATAAACACAATAATAACAATCTACTTTTTTGGTAAAATATAGCCTTGACCTTTTAGAAGATAAAAAAGCATGCTATAAAACAGGATTAAAGACTTACTTTTCACTTGACTAGCCTTAAAAAAAATTTAAAAAAGAGCATTTTTCCATCAGTCTGGAAGGATGTTGGTGTTGAGGTTGGCGTACATATCAAGGACAGTAACTACCATGCTTCTGAAGTTTTGGCAAAGCCTCAGATGCGTGGCCTTCTGGCCAGGCGTCTGCGAATTCATATGGTTGGAGCATTCCTGGTATCCCTGGGGGTTGCAGCTCTCTATAAGTTTGGTGTGGCTGAACCAAGAAAGAAGGCATACACAGATTTCTACAAAAATTACAGTCCCCAGAAAGATTTTGAGGAGATGAAGAAGGCTGGTATCTTTCGTAGTATAAAGTGATCTTGGAATAGAAGGAATTTCTTCAGGTTGAATTACCTAGAAGTTTGTCACTGACTCGGGTTCCTGAACTATGACACATGAATATGTGGGCTAAGAAATAGTTTCTCTTGATGAATAAACAATTAACAATTTAAATAAATAAATAAATAAAAGAGCCAGGCACAGTGGCTCACACCTGTATTCCCAGCACTTTGGGAGGCTGAGGCAGGCAGATCACTTGAGGCCAGCAGTTCGAGACCAGCCTGGCCAACATGGTGAAACCCCATCTCTACTAAAAATACAAAAATTAGCCTGGTATGGTGGTGTGCACCTGTAGTCCCAGCTATTTGAGAGGCTGAAGCAGGAGAATCGCTTGAATTCAGGAGGTAGAGGTTGTAGTGAGCTGATATTGCAGCCCTGCGCTCCAGCCTGGGTGACAGAGCCAGACTCTGTCTCAAAAATAAATAAATAAATAATAAAATTAAAATAAATTAATTAAAAAAAATTTTTAAAGACTGACTTGATTTTGCTAAAATTAGGTGTATATGTGTGAGTGCATGCATGTATGCAAAAAAGTTATCCAAAAAAGTCACAAATACTGAGATTTTTTTGATGATTTTTATTTACTTATGTTTTCTATATTGTTTAAAAGTTTACTATGTTTTTCATATTTTAGGACTCTGAAAATAAGTTGTTTTTATTTTTTTATTATTAAACTCCCAAACCACTTACTGTCCCTCCCCACCAGATAAAAACTCTCTTTATCTTAGTGTAGCTTATCTCAGCTAGATGTAGAAGGAAGCTAAGCTGATTGAATTAGTTTGAGCCAGTTTGTGAGTGATTGTTATCTCCATTATCCTTCAAAACATATTTGTTTTCTCAAAATATAAATGAATCTCTAAATTGTGGTATTTAAGGTAGAATAATGAGGAAGCACAATAATTTGGACAATGTGGGTTACATAATTTTGGACAAGAATATGACTTCATAGCAAGTTAACTCTGCCTGGAAATACACGTCCCTTAGGCTCAGCTTCCTGAAGCTCTTCCCACTTATGCCACACTCTCTAGTCCTGGTGTACACAGGTACTTGTTACACAGAGAAGTTATTTTTTGTTTGGTTTCTTAACATGGTCAAATTTACTTATTTATTTAATCACTTTTAACTTAAAATGTCCTTTCTTCTCTAAAGAGCTTTGTTCAACATTCAGTTCTTTTATGGTTTTTCCATGATTTGACTTCCATATATTTACCTTTAATTCAGTTGAAATTTATTTTGATCAGTGTGAGACAAGAATCTAAATTGATCTTGTCCCAAATTACTATTCTCTTCAAAATCATTTATTCAATCACCCTCTTCTACTTGTGGTGCATTATTTATTATACATTAGTATGTTACATCTCAAATGAGCTCTTTATTCTGTTTTATTGATCTATCTTTGTACCAATACTAGGACTTACTGTAGCTCTAGAATGTTTTAAATATTGCGTCTGTCGTGACTTTTCTCTTTCAAAATTTCAAAATGCTATTTTCACCCCTTTATTTTTCCTGTAAATTTCAAAATTGTTCTATTAAGTACCTTAAAAATCTTATTGTGGTTTTAGTTTATATAGCATTATAGTTAAAAATTAACTTGAGGCTGGCGCAGTGGCTCATGCTTGTAATTCCAACACTTTGGGAGGCCGAGGTGGTTAGATCAATTGAGGTTAGGAGTTAGAGACCAGCTTGGCCAACATGGTGAGACCCTGTCTCTACTAAAAATACAAAAATTAGCTGGGCGTGATGGCATGTGCCTGTAATCCCAGCTACTTGGGAGGCTGAGGTAGGAGAATCACTTGAACCCAGGAGGCAGAAGTTGCAGTAAGCCGAGACCATGCCACTGCACTCCAGCCTGGGCAACAGAGTGAGACTGTCTCAAAAGAAAAAAAATTAACTTGAATCTCTCTACTTTGTACCAACACATCCTTTTCAGTCTTCCAACTATTTTCCACGAGACTCTGTGTCAGATGTGGCAGCAATGGATATATATTCTATGTGGTAACTCAGGGGTTTGTATGTCAGGATTGCCTGTACTCAAGTTTTAGGAAACTGTCATTTAGGACTTTTGACTAGTAAGCACAATATGTAATAGAGGTTTCGGATTTTTTTTTAAGTAGTCTTCTTTCATGTTATTATTTCAGTTTACTATTTGGAGGGTTAACTACTTATTGTTTGGTTGCCCAGGACTGATATCCTTTGCATCTTCTTCTCATTTTTATAATTGGCTTATTATGTTGCAGTGGAGCCCTCTTCAAGTTTTTATTTTTTTTAACTCTAGAGAATAATGTCTGTCTTTCAAGGATTTGATGAGATTCATTTTGTAAAGCATTCTAAACCCTACACTGGATTATTACATTAACTATCGGTATGATCTCAGAGAAATAATTTAAGTTCTCTGATTTTAGTTTTCCTCACCTGTAAAATGGGTGTAATAATACAGACGTGAGGTAATAATGTAAATGTACCTATAAACAACCTCTGTATAATCACACAAGAAATGGTGTGCCTTTCCATCTTTCCCTTCCCTCCATTTACCTGTTGATATCTATTTTGTCAGGTCCTCCCCACCTGTGGTTCTGTAATTACCCTTCTTAATGGAATTCTTAAGCATCTCCCATGGCTCAATACTTAAGACCAAGTGGTGAAAGAGTAGAAATATCATAAATAATTTTGTAAGCAATCTAATATTAAATTAATTGATATTAAATTAATCACAAATCATTTTAATAGTAGCAAATTAAACTAAGCAGGTGTTTTTTGCTCTTTAGAAAAAATGGATTTAGAAAATTATTATTTTCTAAGTTATTAATGATTAATATAGGGCAATAATTCGGGTGTTGACCTTAAAGACTTGTGTATAGAGTATCTATTAGTACCAAGCAGTAATTTGAAGTATAAATGCTGATTGTATCACCTTAGAGCCAAAATCATTGATTAAACAGGCATATTCAACATTAAAATGTGTGTGTGTTTAATTAAAATTGATTTTGGAAGAATTCTCCAACTACTGTTCCTTTTGCTCAATATTTTTTTTATTGTGAAAACGAAGTAAAATTGAGGTATTATTTAAGTTAAATCATGTATGTTGAGAGGTATCTAATTTTGTTTTTTTTTTCTTCTAAGGCCTAATAACTTATATATCTACTTCATGTCTTAATTTCACTTCAAGCTAGAAAAGGCTTACTAGTGTTCATAATTCAGAAGTTGGAAATTTATCAGAAGATCCTAAATGTTGTAGGAACATTCAGAGCCCTGAGTAGGGAAGGATGTGGAAAACAAATTTGAGAAAAATAATTATTTGTTTGGCATCGCATTTTTTCCATGATAAAATGATATCCTATGCACTGATTCTGTCATCTGCTATGTTCTATTAGGGTTTTCCTTAAAGCAGTGAAAGCATTATGTGTTGAGTGTCAGTCTAGTCACAGAAAGAAAGCTAATTCATGTGTATTTGGACATTTCCACTTCATTCACCCAGGAATTTTCTCTAGTAATTGTAAAATAGAAATACCATTTTTAAATTTCAAAAAAGCGAAAGAGGACTAAGAAAAGGAAAACAGAATTTCTAAAATTAAGTTGCTTTCCAGCCACAGACTTGATTTCTTGAACAGTTTTAATAGTGTATTTATTGTTATATATAATATAATACATATTTTACAGGCAACTATCTATCTGTTCTCAAAGGTGGAAACTATCTTTAAACAATAAAGGAACTCCTTTCTGACACAAATGCTGTCTGCCTTTCAAGTAGAAATATGCAGCATGCTGTTTGCACCAGCCTAACGATTTACATTAAGACCTATTTGGTATAGCTTATAAAATCTATTATTTTTGGCAGATACTTCAGTTGAATAGACTATGCTGGGGTGTGTGTGTGTGTGTGTGTGTGTGTGTGTGTGTGTTTAGATTGTCTCTAAAATATTTCAAGCTCACTCACAGGTTAATAATTACACAATGATGTCAGCCAAACCAAGTGCTGACAAGGAAATGAGAGCGTTGTTCAGGAGAGAATGAGTATCCCAAGAGAGGAATCAAACAGCAAGCAGTCATTTTTCATAAAGAGAAAAATGACTAAACTAAAGAAAAGAGGTTTTAAAAAATAAGTTTAACTGAAAACTTGGACAACCTAAAAAGATATGCAGATGTGAAGATTCTAACAGAAGAGGCATTTGGAGCGTGGCCAGCTCCCTGTTCCACCCGCCACAGGAGTTTGCCTTTGGGCAGATGCAGCTCCCAAAGGTGTTTTCTCCCTGGTTTGATGGGGAGGAAAAAGTGAAAGGTTACAGTTTGGGTGTGTTAGACACACCTTTAGCCAGAATGGTATTCCTGAGTTACTCACATTATTGATCACAACTATACTAGAATAAAATAAAATGTGAAAACTGTGTGCTGATTTTTAACTACCACATCAATATGCTTAAAAAAATAATTTGAGGTTTTGTGTGTCTTTTCTGAATACACAGTAACCACACACCACAATGTCATTGCCTTTCTTTCTTTCTCTCTTTCTCTTTCTCTTTCTCTTTCTCTTTTCTTTTCTTTTCTTTTCTTTTCTTTTCTTTTCTTTTCTTTTCTTCTTTTCTTTTCTTTTCTTTTCTTTTCTTTTCTTTTTTTCTTTTCTTTTCTTTTCTTTTCTTTCTCTCTCTCTTTCTTTCTTTCTTTCTTTCTTTCTTTCTCTCTTTCTTTCTTTCTTTCTT